ACCATGAAGTGCTCTGAAAGTTGAAACTAAAATTTTAAAATGACTCCTCAAATGCACAGGGAGCCAGTGCAGAGAGGCTAAAACAGGTGTAATTAGAAAATAGAATTAGATTCTAATTAAATTAGATTTTTTTTTCAGTAAACTTTGATTTAAGGAGCAACATAGACTTATATTTTGCTGTAAACTTTGTGTAGATTTTTGGTGAGGTTTTACATTTTTTTACCTGATTTGCTGGATTCTGATAAAATGCATCTCTAAAAAAAATAAATGATAGAGAGCAATGCATCAGAAATAAATGCTAATGATGAGTCATTCTAAAAGAAAATTCTTTATTCGTTAGGTTACATACATGTCAACCCCTTTGGACGTTTACCTGTATAAAGAGCCTTAGAAATCCGTAAGTTTTGCTAAAAATACGTAGCACCCGTGGGGGGGGGGGGGGGGGTGTCTGTCGGTTGTGGAGACGACAGCGCCTACTACGAAGCAGGAGGAAGGGAGAGCAGAAAAAGTGCAGAACTTATTTCTAGCAGCAGAACAGGTCGGAAGGTTGTTATTTGATGTTATTTATTGTTTTTTAAATCATCCTACAGGCTCTGACATTTTAGATAAATTTGAAAATGAGGTTTTGAAGAAATCCGTAAGACTTGAAAAATCCGTAAGATTGCTCTATACGTCCGTATACCTGCAAAATGACATAAAATCCTTATAACTTATGGACAATCCGTACAACTTGACATGTGTGGGGTTATCTTTGTTCTAAATGATGCATAGTACTGAATTTGGAAGAAGTCATTTGTATTTCTACAAGAATAATTTGTTATATAATATTTCTTCAGTAAAAATTGACAGATTGGCCCTTGGCTTGAAATAAGTTTTGAATATTGCCCCCCTTGTGTTATTGAGTTTGACACCCCTGCTCCAGAGGGTGAAACCGTAGGGTATTTGTTGGTAGGTGTTATTAATGTGTACTGGTTTAAATTCAGTGTTAAAGATACTTACCACGTGCAGTAAATATACATACAGTATATAAAAACTTTAAAATTACTATCATTAATGTCAGAAATGCTCTTAAGACATTGGTACAGTGTTATTGTTAGGGCTGCATGACTATAACATGTTTGGCTACTCAGTTGGACTTTTCTAAGTTTAAATGATATTAGCTGTGATGCTAAATCACAAGGTGTTGGGAGCATTTGAAAAAAGGAAGAGAAGAGTGAGGAATATGTGTGCTTGTTGGTGCAATCATGTTTGTCTAAAAGCGTGTGACCCTGTGGCACAGGCGTCTGTGCAGCTCTCATTGCACATAAACAGGAGCTTCRGAGCGACAGCAGCAAGTGCGAACGAGGTGAATCTGAGGAGGTCGGCTGATTTACACCCAATGTGAGAAAAAGAAATGTCACGCAAGACGAATGATCTTGTGCGTGTCTGAAAGAATCACCTGGGTCCTAAAGGGTTTAATCCAATCTGCACTGACGTATGCTTTTTTCTTTTTCTTTCTTTTTTTTTTTTTTACCAAGCACGACAACGTCGTATATTAAAGTGACATTTAGACATTTTGGGAAATGTTCTCCCTGCTGTTGTGCTGCAGGGCATTTTAAATCTGAGGCTGCGACATGTGCTGTCACCTGGCATAAATCTGGAAACTAGAGATAAACAACTTAGTGACACTGACTGGTGATAATAAAATTTTCCTTCTGATAGGAAGATTTTTTTATTTTATTTTTTTTATCGAGGCACGTTATGCTCTTTTTGTTAATCTCACAGTTTCCTGGAGTTTTAATGAAATGTCATCAACATGTTTTGGTCAAAATATATTAGAGATGTTTATTATGTCATATAATCATATCTAAACACATGTTTCTACTTCATTTTCATCTACATTTTTTATAGTGCAATGCAATGCCACTTTGTCTACGATGGAAGATGTTGTCGAGTCTCCAGATCCTTCATCATCAATCTCTCCTCTGGAATGCACCTACAGCATTACTGTCTATCCTGGCTATGGTGTGGAAATTCAGGTAATGTATCATTTCTTTTCCAATGCGACCTTATTCATTGTGCAAATATTTTTATTGTTTACTTCCACTTTGTTGGTAGTTTTTTAAAATCTGAACTTCAAAAAGAAGTCTCAATATRTGCTGCAGTTTGGTACAGATGGGAACATAAAACATTGAACAGCCTATATTAAATTAAAACGAGACCTTATTACCTCGCAAAGTGTGAGGGTACAGATTTTAATTAAACACCCTGGGGTGAAAATCATTWTGCAATAATTTCATAAGGTGCTGAATTACCTTGGAAGTTTATTTATTAAAGACGGGCCTCGTTAATCTTTTTTTTTTTCTCCCCCTCTAGGTGAGGAAGACTAACCTTTCCAAGGACGAATCTCTGATGATTATGGGTTATGGAAGTTCAGGGCTGGAGCTGTTGGCCAATGAGACCTTGATGAAAGAAGGCCAGGTGATTCGCAGCGCGACCAATCGGGTGTCGATTCACTACCGGAGTCTCCGACAGTCCAACCATGGCACCTTCAGCCTCCACTACCAAGGTTAGTCACACCCACTTATTTTAAATTACAAATAAAGTCTTCATCAAGACTTGGGTCCAAATTCTACAAGACAGCAGGTCTTCACTGACTGATATTTATTTGCAACTGAATGAAGATGTATTAATCATTTCATTTCAGATTTTTCTGTCCAAATAAGAAGAAAATGATCAAATGAGAGATACGAGATTAATTAGAAATCAGGAAAAACAGCTAATAATCTCAGCGAGCTGCAGCGTTTGTATAAAAGGCAGCCTGTGATGACGATCAATACTGGTGTGATAAAAGAGACAGACATTGTGACCTTGGACAATCTGTCGACTGGTGATGAAGGAAGTCAGAACAAATGTTCCACAGATATTTATAACAGATGTGATGATGAACGTGTAAAGAAAGCTAAATGAAAGTTGTGAAAAGTGGCAGAATGCTAAATTTGCCAATAAAGGAGTGAGTGATTAAAAAYGAGGACGCATTGCTGACATAAAGGATCTGTTTTTGATTTTTTTAATCTCTTTCTGATCCTTCGTCGACAGCCTTCCTGCTGTCCTGCCCTTTCCCAATGTCCCCTGAAGGTGGCGGAGTGACAGTGACAGACATCCATCCCGGAGGCCAGGCACACTTCCACTGCGATCCAGGTTTCCAGATCCGAGGCCACGAGGTGGCGACGTGTGTCAACACCACGCAGCCTCGTTGGAGCATGCCTGAGCCTCACTGTGTTGGTTTGTACAAACAGATTCACAAAAACCAGAGCGTTCAGCAACAACGAGGAGGTGAAGGTTGAAAACGATAAGATGGATTTTTTTTTCTTTAGCTGTGTCTTGTGGTGGATGGATTCGTAATGCAACGGTGGGACGCATCCTGTCTCCACCTCCTACTTCTGTCAGCAACCACAGTAATGGAAACAACCTGAGCTGTCACTGGTTGATAGAAGCCAAGGAAGGACACAAACTCCACCTCCACTTTGAAAGGATTGCAATGGATGAAGATGACGATAAGTAAGTTTGTTTTGTTACTTTTTTTTCTTTCTCATGGAACAGAATAAAATGACAAAATTTAATAACAAAATTTAAAAAAAGTTTTACAGAAGCCCAAAAGCACAAACCGAAAGTGTCCCTGATGACCTTTTTGTAATTGGTTTTGTTTTGTTTACTTTTTCATTTGTGATTGCCAATGAATAGTTCACTCTAGTCTGAAATGTTTAGCATTCCTCAAAGTGTTAAACAAAAGATCCTGCGTGACATGTTAGTGCTCAGTCTGTGTGATGGGGATGACTCTCAGCTACACACAGAAATTTGGCTCTGAAGTGTTGACTGAGTTGAAGCAATTTAAAGATGACCATCTTGAACCAGGCTCTAAAGGTTTTGCTACAACCTCAATGCATTGCTCCCTGTATATGTTGTCTGTACTGTATATGTTGTTGCCTATTGTAACATTGTAAATAAGAAATTGTTCCTAATGTTTTGCCTGGCAAAATAAAGATTTAATAATAATAATAATAAATTCCAATGAAGTTGGAATGTTGCAAAAATAAAAACAGAATATGAGGATTTGCGAATTAACAGTTTAACAACAAGTACTTTTGTGGTTTGTCCATCTTAGGTTAATTGTCCGGAGTGGAAACAGTTCTCTGTCCCCGCTGCTCTTCGACTCTGACATGGACGATGTCCCAGAGCGTGGGTTGCTGAGCGAGGGCTCCACGCTGTACCTGGAGCTCACAGCAGATTCTTCCTCCATCCCTCTGCTGCTCGCCATGAGATATGAAGGTAAACAAGAGCCTGCATTTTTTTTTTTTTTTTTGCTTACATGAGGTCTTTTCCAGATTCAGCAGAACTGAGAAGCTGCACATCCGTCTAACCTCATTATTATGTGCTTGTCCGTACCTGAGTCAGCGCTTTGCCTGAAAAAGAAAATGTAGTTATGATTCATTTCAGCATTCAAAAGTCAAGTAATGCATTATTTCATGCCTACTGTCTTCCCTGGTTTTATTGGGATACGTTTCAGACTTTCAAACTCTTTAGTACTTCACATCAGGGATTTTTCTTGCCAAGAAAGGTTCTTTTTAATGCATGTTTTCCTGAAAAATGAAAACAGTTGTTTCATTTTAACAAGCTGGAAATAAACTACTATGAAGGGTATTTTAATATACGCAGGACACATGGTCACATTTTATTTTATTTTTTGTATTTAAAGCTTTTGATGATGAGCACTGCTGGGAGCCCTACATGCCTCATGGAAATTTCAGCAGCAGCGATATCTCCTATCAGCTAGGAACCATCGTGAGTTTCTCCTGTTCTCCGGGTTTTGTCATGGAACAGGGTTCAGGGACTATTGAGTGTGTCGAGCCTGGCAATCCCCACTGGAACGACAGCGAACCTGTGTGCAAAGGTGGGTTTTTTTTTTTTTGCACACGTATGTGCGTGTTTGTCCATTTCTTTTTTTAGAAAAATATCGTTTTGGACCACTGAATGAATTTTAACAAAACTCTTCTAAAGTACTCTGAAACTTTATACAATGGCTTTAAAAACTTTTTGTTTTTATTTAGAACAGGGTGGCTCGCCTGTCCTGTATCAATTTAAACATGTAGCATGATATATACTGTTGCAAAATTTAAAAATTTCTTTCAATTCATGTCAATTTCTTAAACATGGAAATGTCAAATGTAAACTGTAATACATTGAATTGAGCACCGATGCCACTATGGGTACTGGTTCCAGGTATCACGGCACTTTTGTACGAGTACGTGTAAAAATGCTGCCGGTATCAGTCACACCAAGTTCACCCAAATAGTGCTGAGTGKAGCCCATGGGGTAAAGGCCATGTAGTTTACAGTATCATTTAACACTTGATGTATTTGTTTCTATAAAAATGAAGTTGCTCAGTTCATAAATATTCAAAGTATATCATTCGCTAAGTGCTAGTTTGCTGAGATGGATGTTTGTTGCGTCAAGATGTTGTTTCCACCCTGGCTGTGTCACCTGTTGACATGCGGTGAAAACTGGGAGCAGCAGGAAGCCAGTGACTCACATTAAGCTGCCTTCACACTGAGTTGAGGGCCGCCTGAAATCACAGGTGGTGCAGGTCCAGCCAAGCCTTATAGTGACAGATCGACACCCCGAAAGCACAAGCAGCTGTCGCCCACAGTGGTTTAGCAATATGGATGGTTAGATGTCAGCAGATTGAGTACCTGAGCATGAAAAAATGCTCAACAGCTCTCAGAGTGATGGCGACATGGGCAGGCTGAGTGTATTTTTGCTCATGTGTTACAATTATATAACTTTTGATATAATATTCTTTGTTTGTTTTTTCCTTTAGATGCTTTAGTGCAGTTTTTATTTATCGTATCCCTATTGTAAGTTCAGCCTCTCGTCTTTGTTGTGATCTGTAAGCTCTGTGTGGAGGGGAGCTGACCGATGCCTCTGGGACCATCCTGTCCCCCGACTGGCCCCAGAGCTACTCCAAGGGGCTGGACTGTGTTTGGCAGATCCACGGTAACGAGGAGAAACGCATTGAGCTGGATGTCCGGATGTGAGTAATTACTTTTTAATGTTTTTTTTCTAAAGATCATTTTTTAAAGGAATGCAATTATTTAATTTCAGACAATTAGGGTCAAAATAGTCATTAGACTGAATGAATTGATTAAAATCAGTTTGAAGTGTACTTGATGTATGTTTAATTTCAGTTCCTGTTATTCAGGTTTTATAGGTTAATTTACAGTGAAAAGTGAAACTGACAGTAAAAAAATCAGAAAGATAAAATTAGTTTCATCTTTTTAACTCCCTGCCTCCGTTGGTTTTCCCTCACTTTCCTCTCCAATCTGCATCGACTAAAATAACGCATGAAGTTGCTTCACTTCCAAAGTAAAATCTCTCAAATGTGAAAGCCCTTTTTTATTACCTCTGCAAAGGAGGTAATGTTTTTGGTCACGTATGTTCGTCTGTCTGTCGTTCTGTCTGTGGACAACATTACTCAAAAACTTGTGGACGGATTGTCATGACATTTTTACCACGTGTGTACTGGCCCAAGTGACACACCATTACATTTTGGTGATGTTCCGGATCACAATGCAGATACAGGAATTTTTTTTTTCTTTTAATCCTCTGAGATCGGCAAAGCTGTGATGCTTTCACAGGGCTTCTGTAAAAAACAGTGAGCTGGATTGGACAGCACGGACTTCAAACATTTATAAAAGTAATGTTAAAACCACATTTAATGATGAAGAATTTTTGCCATAATGTGCACATTTTTACACATTTGGTGCGCATTTACAGAAAGTTTTGTGACCAGGAAGTGCGTGACTGCATCATGAAACCTATTTTTAACATTTCCTCAAACACACCACATTTCCGAAACAACCAATCAAAACAGTTTCTCGCTACTAGGCTTGTAAACAGAGAGCTGCCGGGCCTCAAAGTTTGGAGAACAGGGGAGCCAGGAAGCACTTTATAAAAAGAGTCAAACCATTACAAACTCATACAAGGGGATAAAACAGACGTTTTACATGGTGAAATGTGACTGATGAAAACTTAGGAGCTTAATCCGACACCAGTTTGATGATGAATAACGTCGGGTGATGAGTCTGACTTTTTTTTCACATTGGACACCACTGAGAAGAAAGTCCTTGCATACTGCCTGCTTAAATGTTTGCTACGTCAGAACTTATTCGGCAAATGTGTTTCCATCTCTGCTTTTGTGCATTAACTCTTACAGGATGGGGAAAATTGGTCTTGGCAGAGGTTTGCACTCTCCAAGTGCTTCTAGTTTAACCTTTTTTTGTCCTACTTCTTCTTCAGCTTGAATATTCGCCACACGGATGTGCTGACCATCTTCGACGGACGTGACCTCATGTCGCACGTGATCGGACAATACCTGGGCTCCAGAGAGCGTTTCAAGGTCATATCTGGAGGGTCAGAGGTCACCATTCAGTTTCAGAGTGATCTAGATGATTCCAGTTTTATCCTGAGCCAAGGCTTCCTCGTTCATTATCGAGGTAACTTAATTCAGACTCTCCACATTTGTTACATTTAAAATATGGAGTTGTAGTTTGTTTTAAGATGCAGACATCTCTCACTGGCGAGCAACAGATCGGTTGTTTTGTGTTTTTTGTTCTGTACATTTTTTTTGCAATCTAACTACAACTGCACAATTTTAGAGGTTCATATATCAAATGGAATATAGGTATTAGGTTTTTTGCAGTTTTTATACATTTCAAAATACTAAATTTTATATAAGAATCCACTGAGAGCTCTTAAATTCAAATACTTACCACAAAGCAAACAGGTGTGAGCTAGATCTGGTGTCAAGTTTCTGGCTGACTGGAAAGTGGTTTGTTAAACCCATGTGAGTCAGGTCTGGCAAGAATGGCACAATTTTTTAAATGGCATACCTCAACTGGCCCAGTTCTGGTTTGGTTTATGTGGCCCAAATCTGCCAGTTCCCAAAATGGTCCAGTTCTGGTTTGGTTTGTGTGGTGCTGGCCCATTCTGGACCACATCAATTTTACCAAGTGGGTTTGTTCTCTTTAAAACTCTGTTTCAGCCACGATACTTCATGTTTCTGCTCCCTGGTCTAAGTTGTTTTAGCCCAGTGCTGCTTTTAGCTTTCAACTAGCCTTTTCTGGTTTTTAAATTAACTGTTTGAAAATTTTAGCTAACCTGTTGATGCCTTTAGCTGGTCTTTGCTACTTTTAGCTTCTTGATATTGTTCTACTGTTTTGTTTTTGTTTGTTTGTTTGTTTGTTTGTTTGTTTGTTTGTTTGTTTGTTTGTTTGTTTGTTTGTTTGTTTGTTTGT